GACTGTGAACATCCACTAAATAAAGAGGAACCTGTAGCTGCATGTACTTCAATTTCTTACCCTTCACTGAAATTGTTTTCTGAAACATTATACAGTTTTAACATGGTCAAGTAACCCAGCACTGATTCATCTAAAGATACTTGAGTGATTTCAGCTTAGCTGACAACTTATAGAGGCCCTATCATGGATTTTTCTTGCATGAACAGCAGTTCACACAAATCATTTATTGAAATCAAGCATCACTCTCGTATGCTTTACATTTCACACATCAACAGCTATTAAATATTCTGGCTTGCCTTTATGAGCGTCGGTGTCTACAAAATAAATTGACTTAAAATATAAACTAAAATGATATTGTGTTAGTCAAGTGCAGCAAAAGCAATGTATTGAAGCTAATATTCTTATAGAAAGAACATTCGGATGGAATGCTGTTTGAGACTTCTGGAAGCTCTGGAGAAGAATCAGCAGTCGTTTCGGAAACAGACCAATTACCTTTACACGCTGACTGAGAGCACTGAAAGCTCAGTCTCGGCTTATAGAGAAATCTTTGCAAGTACTTGATATGTTTGGAAACCAGTGTCATTTGGGATAGTTATTAGAATATGCAACAACATTTAAAGCCTTTATTTAGTAAAAAAAAAAAAAAATTGTCAATATTGAGCAGAGTGTGTGTTGATTTACTTTGAGTGTAGCAGGTAAAATGAGCCTAGAACTAGAACAAAAGGAAACCGGAACGTGAGGAGAAAAACTAAAAAGTCCATGAAAATGAAACTAAAAAGAACATAACTGTTACACTCTAAAAAATGCTGGGTTAAATACAACCCAGTGCTGGGTAAAATAGGGACCAACCCAGCCATTAGGTTGTTTTGACCCAGAAGGTTGGGTTAAACATCTAGCCCAACCGCTGGGTCAAAACAGCCTAATTGCTGGGTTTGTCCCTATTTTACCCAGCACTGGGTTGTATTTAACCCAGCATTTTTTTAGAGAGTGAACAAACGGTGCATGAAAACACGAAAAACAGAGGCAGCAAAATGACAGAGCGGTCTCAGAAGAAACTGATAATGAGCACATTACAGCAGCGACAAGAGAGCGAAACAAAGAATACAAAGTAGTGATGTGTGGATCAGCTCTAAAGCTGAGTCCATATTTCATGATCCCCGATTTACCCCTCACAACAGTCTGAGAAAAAAAAAGTAAAAATCTCATCCGTTACCTTGGGCTGTTACCAGGGGTGTCTCTGGGACTTGAAAACAGGGGATGTAATTCTTTGTAACCTTATAATATTCATATTTCTATCCAAACAGGGACAATACATTTTTGTAACTAATTATTATGCTATTATTATAATCAATAATTATTATGATGCCTGTATTAAAAACCTAATTGGTTCAATGCAATTCACCAAAAATCACACTACAAAAAATAGTAACCATTGCAAATAGAAAACAGATCAAGTTATTATAACAAAATGACGACTTTACAAAAATACATTACACAAATAAAACAGTAAATAGGAGAACATATGAAAAGTACACCTGTATTTAACATTTTCTCATAAACTGTGAGTATAATGTTTCCAGTAGCTTTGTTGTGTAAATGTCATTTTATATTTGTTATTGCAAATGGATATTTACTATCCCTAATTAGGCTTATTACTTTGCATTGTATGCTAATTTTGCATAAATGTTAATGTAATATATATTTTTTATATGATATAATGACATTGATCATTTAATATTTTTCATGCAGGGTGTATAGGTAGCTTAAAAATCCTGTACAAAACAATCCACATACCCTGTTCAAGCTATTTAAGTGCTTTTGTTGTGAAGGACCAAAAAGAAAGATGTACTCTTAATTTAGATATATCCTAATACACAGCTTAATAATAATAATGTCTGGAAATGATCATCTCAACAACTATGACATATCGCTGTTTACTGTACATCTATAATCTGTAAATTATGACATTACATAACCCCCACCCCCCCCACCAGATGCCACCAATCTGGCACCAACTCATGCATTAGATTGTACATATTGTTGCTGAAACGATTTAACTTAATCTTAACTTAAATAATGCATTAGGTATTAATAATACATTTATAATTTATATATCAAAATTTGTACATTTAATTATAAAAGCTGATTGGTCAATATACAGCACGGCTGACCGCTTCACTGAACATATTTATCACTGTGCAGCTTCCTTAGCAACATGTACTGACATAACTGATTAATGTATTACGTATTTTAGCAAAAGGTAACTGTTTATTAATTATTTGATGAAGTATGAGTGACCGCTGCTGGTGTTATGTCTGCGTCATTCATCTTTAAATTTGAGGCCAGCTCTTCCCCTGCAAAACATAGCCTGCTGGAGACCTGTGTGTGTGTGTGTGTGTGTGTGTGTGTGTGTGAAAGCCCACAGTTACATACATTATGTATAACTAAGAGGTTAATATGGTCTAAATACCATTTAAAAAAATGCTTTATTGTAGATATACATTTGTTTCATAAAAATGAAGTTATTGTAAAATTTCAGTTTCTAATTAGCCACAAACAATACACATTTAAAAAACACAGTTTATATTACTAACAGATCATTCGTTTTTATATATTCAAATGAATTCCGATTCATCATTTCATGGCTATTCGTTTTGAATGTTCATATTTAATATAATAATGCATTATGTGTTACTAAGTTATAAATTGTAATTTACAGAAATGCAGAAATATCTTAAAAAAATTTCTAAACGTAAAACATTTTTCTGTTGTTTTCTTTACTTACAAATTTTGGGAATAAGTATTAGGAATATTTAGCTAAATCTTGACCTCATTTAGTGAAAGACACAACTGCTTAAAACATTAAGTTTCATTGTTTTCCTATCAAGTAGCCCATTTATTTTTTCTTTTATTTGTTTTCTTAATAGACTATTAAAGAGAACATAAAGATCATGAGTTTCTGTTGGATCTGGACCAATTCATGTTTGTCTGTGGTCTCTGATTTTACTTGCAACTGTCATCAAGAAATGACTCCTATGGCAGTATCTGCATAATGCTTTCTAAGTGCTTTAAATGTCTTTATGTAACCTTGTTGTCAGCATTTTCAAATGTCAGATAGTTCAGTTTCATTATGGTAGTAGCCTATAGTTTGTTTTGCCATTTGTTTGTGTATTGCTGCTTTCATACAACAAAAAATAATATTATGTCCTACATAATCTTCAAAATAAAACATTCTCACATTTTTTTATTTATGAATTTGTTTTTTTCCTCTTGCACCAATAATGCATTTATTTATAAATGAGGTCTACAGACTGGTGTGAAAACTCAGAATCTAGAGAACTAGGCCTACATCCTTCCTCCTTCATTGACACCATCATCATAATAAACATAATCGACAGTGATGACAATTTTTTTGCATACATATCCCAATTTACATGAAAAATAATAAATAAATAAAAAACAGGTCATTTAAATTAAGTGAATACAAATTTTATAATTATTAAATAGCAGCAAAATATATATATATATATTAAATAGCAGTGTGTAAAATTATTTTTAATACAAATATAGCCTATATCTATAAGAGTCCAAGTGCTGAAGGTGCTGAAACCCTGTTGCGTTTGTTCTGGCTGGTCTTTGATGGCCACACACTCAAATTAAATGTTCTGTAACAATAAAGACATTTTGAGGTGGTATTAAATTCCATTCTTTTATTTTTCCATGCCTGGAAAAAAAAATCGTTTTAAACTTCCCCAATATTTCTAGGGTTTCCACTGCCTGTGAGCCGTGGGTGTGTGCGTTTAGACAGGGTGAGGACAGGCTGGTTTCTATTGTCTGGTGAGTTTGGAAATAAAAAAAAATGCGTGCAGACTCTCGACATCACCTCGGCTTGTTCGGTGACTAGAACATAGGCTACGTTGTTCGGTCACAGACGGGCTGGATGCTGGGTCATGGTGCTCTCTAACGGCTCCGTTCTTTCTCCATTAGGTTGAAGACTTTAACTGAGGATGACAAGACAATAAACGGGTTTATGCGTTTCGGCGAATAACAAATGCGGGATGTCTGTGTCCCTCGGCGGAGAAACGGCGCCGTGATAGCGTAGTTCGTGAATAGGGAGAAATGCGTATGACACGCAGGAATCTGTCGTAAACTACGTCCTGGGCTCTGTCTGTACTCCGGCGAGAAAGTAGAGAATACTAGTCCGAGTGCTTCAGATGATCGCATAGGATATTTTCTCCACCGCAACCGAGCTAATGTTAGCAGCTGTGAGCGGAACACTCCGCGAGACCGGGGGAACCCACTTCTGACGGAGGCCATGCTATCATGCCGCGCGGAAATGTACCAGAATAAACGGATGACAGCGCGCCGATCCGTCGAAGGAAAACTTTTGGGTTCGGTTTACACGGCGGGCTTGCAGTAAAAACGCTCGTGCGGCTAACGGGGTCCCGGAGGCCGGTGTGAAGCGTGGAGCCGTGGCTGGCATGGTGCGGTCACGCATCGACTGAACGCCGCTCTGACTGCGTCGCTTCTCGGGTCGGCTAATGTTCATGAGGCGTGTATGGGTCCTGCGTACTCGAGATCCCCGCTCCCTCAGAGGGACACCTGAATCCGAGCTGCTCTACGGGCCACATATTTGCCAAGCTTGACTGTCATTTCATGTATGGATGGACGCGTGCATGCTTTGACAGAATCCTGCGTGCATCGTTGCAGTTGGCACAGCGCATCCCAAGGAGGGGCTGTTACTCTTGCAAATATACATTGGCTCCGTCGAAGCCTTTAATTAGCGGAGGCTCGCGGCTGCCCGTCTCCCTGAGAACATTACGTAAGGCTGCAGCGTACGCTACGTCTTTTCGAAGTTAAACTATCGGGTGACATTGCAGTCTCTCCCCTCTCTGTTGGGGAGATATAACGTACGCTCCTCTCGGTTATTACGTCTGCTGTCAAAGCAAGGGAAGGTGGAGCGTTGTCCGTCGTGCGTGCTGACGCAGTGGGATTTCTACGTGTGGTCTGCGTTTCGGCCCGCCCTTCCCGCGGTGACGGTGATGGGTCGGAAGCGGTGTGTCGGTGCAGATTGTTCGAAGATGGCGGCCGGGTGCTGCGGGGTGAAGAAGCAGAAGTTGTCGGGGTCCCCCGGGGCTGGGGGTCCCGGCGGGGCGGGCAGCGGAGTAGCCGGGACCGGACATTGTGGATCGGAATTGGGGATCGGGTCGTCGTCGACTGTTGTGGCCGGGAACGTGAATCGGGTGAACGGCCTCGGGGGTCCGGGGGGTAGCAGTAGTAGCAGCAGCAGCAGCAGCAACAACACCAATGCTCTGTCCCCAGCTCCAGGAGGCTACAACTCCACCGGCCTCTCCCCGACTCTCAGCCCCGGCTCCGGAGCCAGGAAAATGGTCGTTTCGGCGGAGATGTGTTGCTTTTGCTTCGACGTGCTTTATTGCCATCTATACGGATACCAGCCTCCGCGAACACCCAGGTTTACAAACGACCCCTAGTAAGTAGCGTTAGCAAGATGGCTATTTTGACCCGCTTTGCTACAACAACAGACGGTGTGTTTGCTGTTCTCTGTGCTCGAAGCAGTAAGTTTAAAGTCTTGGCGCTCGTGGCTGTGTCGGTCTGATGCCGCCGCTGTTGTCAGGATAATTACTTTGTTTCATGTCCATACACACCAAATGCAGTAATTAATAGTTTACTTGCTAACCCGGCTAATCCAAGCCCTCTCGATTAAAAAAAAAAAAAGAAAAAAGTACTGTCATGTTTCCAAACTCAAGTTTTCGAATAAAAAAGTAATTAGTAAAGTATAATTATACATTTTATTAATCGTCAAATTACTGGAAACAGTATACATATTTGATAAAGAAATATAATATGTGGGGTTAAAAGTTTTTTTTTTTAGATGTGTAATTAATCTGTCATTAATGCGCTCGTTAATTGGGTAAAGCAAATTTCTCTGAAAGAGATTAAATGAGTGTTAGCCTGCTCTTCTTTAAGCTTCTCTGCAAGCTAACCAACGCTAGCCAACAAACACGATTCTCATTCGCCGAATATTTTTCTTTTTCTATTTCTTAGCTCTCAGGTTCTTTCCTATTTCGTTAGATTTTTCCACACACTAAAAAAATCACCGAGTGGTATTTCGTTTTTATTAAACGTGAAGCTGCTGCCAGCGGTTAGCTGAAGTGAGCTAACAAAGCCCAAGAGTTGTTTACTTTGCCCACAGATGTTTCGTTTGAAACCTCTCACAGTAATGTTCGTTCAATTTGCAGTCACGCGCTTATGCGAAGGTACAACAATACATGATATCAGGACACGAAGGAATATTTAACTTGCATGTTAAGTATATACATATTCGGCTATTTTGTCGCTCGCTAAACACCTACTCGTTATCTAGGACTCTTTCAGGTAAGCTTTCTCAATGGCAATTGGTGTGTTGTAAATGATTACAAACAGTTCGAGTGCTGGGTTTTAAGAGCGTTAAAGTGATCTTTATCTTATCCGGTTAGTCAAGGCAATGAATGAATGAATGAATGTCTTCACTGCAGTTCCTTCCTCTGCTTATAATAACACTGCCTCTATTTGGACTGTGCACACACACATAATTCACACGGATGTGAATATGCAGCATTTATTAATATATCAGACCCTTTTATTCAGTGTGTTTTAGAAATTACACATTTTTACAAATTACACCCCCCCCCCATCGATTTGCCTCATGAAATGCAATTCATTTCAAACACAAATCGATAAGAACAGTGGGAATTATTATAACTCCGACATAGGAGGAAAGCTAATGTGTTCTGTTGGTTTAAGGCCAATTAAGTCAATTTAAAAACAACAACAAAACTTCAAACGTTTCAATAATTAAAGCTAACAGATTGTAGGATATTAATAAGTAAAGTGCAGCCGAACTGAATATTTTAGAACCGAAAACCTTGTCCGAAGGGCTGCTTGTCACAGGCACGCTTGTCATTCAGCGTTATCTCTGGCTTGGGATGGTTTGATGATACGCTCACATTACCCCTCTTACAGGTTGAGCAGCTTCACTTCCTGCCACTAGAGGTTGTTATTTTGGGGAAGTGCCTATATTAGACATTCTGTTAAAGGTCCTGTATTGTCAAAACTGAAATTTCATGGCTTTTTTCATGATTACTGAGGTCTAGGGGCTATTTAACTACCATATATGTTTCAAAACAGTCAGTCCACAGTAAAATGCACACAGCTTGCATAAAGCAGCTGTGATTTTTCATGAACCGTTGTGACTTCCGTAAAAAGTTGACGTCAGAACTACACAGTCACCGCCTTCAGTCACCACCCCGAGCACCGCCCACCGTCCCACTCTCCTTTAGCCACACCCCCAGACAACATCACGTCCATGCCATTGCTGAGCAACAACAACAACACGGAAACATGTCGAAAATGTTAACTTTAACCACGAAACCAGATCAGCCGACCTGTTACGTTACACTCGCACTCAAAGGATGGACGATCTGACAGGATTGTTACTATGAGGTGGATCACGTATAACGTGTGGAGTAAAGACAAACTCACCGTATCTAGTCATGATGAAGATGTTTATACATTTCAATTTCAGCAGGAAACTATTGTATTTTTACAGCTACATTATTGTTCCAGCCACAATTAATCACAACAATGTATATACAATTACAAATGATTATATATAAGTCGTCAGTTTGTTGTTTTACACACATGCACACAGACATTATTTCATACACGACATAGTCGTGAGATGCAAGAAACATAGACATATGGCAAGAAATCTGTAGACGCGCCCATAACAACAAAAGCCAATACTTCATTGAACCTTTTCTGATAAGAAGTGTGCGCTGCAAACGCGAGCATTTTTGACGATCTTTTCTGTTCAGTCTGCTCCTTTTATCGCGTTTAACCACAGCTGTTGTCGGTTTTTTGTCTGGCAGTGGAAACGGATATGCAATCAAATTTCTAATTTGAGGCTGTATTACATCGATTCTGGCACCCAACATGCCAACCTGACCTAAGGGGGCAGCTGTAGGAAGCATGGTCAGAGAAGCATTTTGCAAACTGACATTTAAGAAAATAGCATTTTCAAAAGCTTAACTGAAGTGTTATGTTTATGTTGTGTTTCTGGAAAAAAATTTAACTTCATTTACTTGGAGCTTGCACAATACCTTCAAGGCACTTTAACTAAGGGTTGTAAAGAACTAAAAAGTACTTTCAAAGACTGAGGAAGTGGTGATAGGATTTCACCACATGCCTTACCCGAGTTAGATTTCTTTTGTCCTTTTGTGGATTTTCCAGAGCTGAAAATATTCTGTGTTTAGTGTGCGTAATGCATAGTGCTAATTGATTTAATGCACAGAGGGTATTGTGGGGTGCTTTTGTTTTGGAACATGCTGGAGTGTTTCTGAGTAACTGTCACTGAACCTCTAGTTCTTTTTGTTTCAATGACAGCAGTGGCTTTATTCTGACAACTGTTCTTTTATGCTGATTCCTCCTATGAAAATACTACCTCAGTCTTTTGTCTCTGTCCATAATTTGCATGGCCATGTGCCTGTATAGCTCAATGTCTTCAAGGCAGCCATGACATCTATCACCCAAGAAATCTATCAAGACAAGATCCATTACAATAGACAAAATTAATCAAAAACTACTAGCATTTTCTCACTTTTTTATATATATATATTTTGACCACAAGGTGGCGCTGCCCTGGAACTTGAGTATCTTCAGGACATGGCGCGGAGTGCATGGTACTAGGGGTGTGCGATATATATTGTCTGCGATTAATATCGTAATTGTTGTTTTAACAATGTGCGATTTGACATTATCGCAATTTGCATGGCCATGTGCCTGTATAGCTCAATGTCTTCAAGGCAGCCATGACATCTATCACCCAAGAAATCTATCAAGACAAGATCCATTACAATAGACAAAATTAAACAAAAACTACTAGCATTTTCTCACTTTTTTATATATATATTTTGACCACAAGGTGGTGCTGCCCTGGAACTTGAGTATCTTCAGGACATGGCGCGGAGTGCATGGTATTAAGGGTGTGCGATATATATGGTCTGCGATTAATATTGTAATTGTTGTTTTAACGATGTGCGATTTGACATTATCGAGTATTTTACAAAAACCATTCAAAACATCCCTACAGAGCGCACGCATACATTACGTGAAGTCTAGACTAGTGCGTGTGCGCATTTAGTGCATTTTCTTTCACTGCATGATTCAGTCTATTAAAATGCATTTAGAATAATCACAAATTCAAGACATGATGGCAGAAAATTTATATATTTATACCACTTCATATAGTTATTCAATTTCACACGAAGAGTGCAGTTTTTCTCCAAAAATTACCATGATTACAAATGTGACATTGAAATCAATAAACAATTAGTTAATTAAGAGACTTACGTTTGACTCAAAAGATAATGGACACTTTTAGAGAAAATGGCTTTATAAAGGTAAAAATGCCCATAAAATGCAAAAATCTGTTTAAACTTATTGGAAAAGATTAATTTCTGTCAGTATGAACTGACCACCACACCGAATATGAAGAATATTAAAAACTTTAGGAGTCAGCTGTCTTCGGCAGTCCTTAAGATACCAGCACAATAACACACTCAGCAAAATATCGTCTAATTATCGTTATCGATAAAATCCCAGAAAATATCGAGATATAATTTTGTCAATATCGCACACCCCTACATGGTACTGAGTTTTGTTACGATATGCCAATGCGTTAGTAAAAATTATTTTTTAAAGTTAAAATTCAAAATGGCAGATTCAAAATTACCATTTACAATGTAGGTGCTTTCACATCTTCAGTACTTGGCCCCTAGCTAGTGGTCAAAGGTCCGAGGATGAAATTTGACATTCTGAAAATGTCAGGGTGAGAGCTTTTGAAATGTTTTCTATAGCAATTCAATTGCTATCCACCTTTTTTCTAAGCCCTGTGGCCCTTTGTGCAAACTATGGGAGTAACTTTCATTATACTGTAAACAATCAGCGAAAGGTTCGCTGTATGAATGCAATAGCCTAATAAACATATTCAAAAGATGGGTATAATGCGGTGACACTGTTTTTGGTGGTCTGCCCCCGACTAGAGCTGTCACTCTTTTTCAGCCCGCTAATATAGTGGCAAAAAATGCCGACGAATTCATGTAGTGATTATTTTCACCAACAGAGGGTGAAATGTTACTCTGATTACTTGGCCACAAAGAACCTGGACAAAGTAGAGCACTATTATCATCAATTATCAAAAGACACACCATTATCTGTTTCAACGTTGCCACATACTAACTAGTCGTGTTAAATTAAATAATATTAAATTTGGTGCTCTTTGCATGCATTATATAACGGTGTTTGGATTTTTTTGTACATAATTTTTAACGTTACCTAAAGTCATGGGTAAAAGTACACCCTGTATGAAAAAAAACAACTA